AATCTTCAGAAGGTACTGCAGGAAGCCACCCTTAACATAGTGGCCCAGGCCTCTGCCTCCTGCCCTGCGGTGGCAGGTATGCGCTTCTCAAGAACATCTGTGCACTTATCTGTGCATCTGTGCACTTAAGTGAACATTCCTTCACTTAATCAATGTTACTTGAGTGGGTACTTGGTTCAAAAACCTGTGCCGGGCCCTCGGGAAATAACCTCTGGAATGACATTCAATGTTAAATATTTGGGAAGGCAGGTCATTTTTCCAAAAATTGAATTCTACTCTTAATTAAAATGGCTTCTTGGTTCTCTTGCCAGGACCCTGAAAAGGGGAACAAAAAGCCAATTTATAAGGAGGTCCATGTCAGAAAATACCTCCTTATTACTTACTGGTGAGGAAAAAAACCGTATGCACAAACTCAAGTAAGACAAGCTACGGGTAATATCAATATTCCAGATCTGTTGCTCAGTGCCCTCCGGACTTTGCAAATGCCCTAAAGATTATGTGTATATGGAGTTCTGATCTGGAGATGATTTACCTGCCGCAGTCTGACCAGCTCTGTTGAACAGAGTCGGCTGTATTTTTGGGGGCTTAGAAGATGACATGAATATTGCCCATATTTATCATGGAGAGGAGACACAGAGTTGCAAGCTGCGTTTCTGAGATGGGAGGGCTCAGTCTTGTTTGTGTGCTGTTCTCCGACATACGTGTTAAAGCTTCTTGCAAAGAGATATTTTTACTCTCTGTCATGTACTTAAATCCACCTGCCTTCCTTAACCTACACACACTCATTTGCACACTAGTGCACATTTCAGTGTGCTTCTTGCATGCAACTCTTCCTTTTTTGATTGTTTCAAGAAAAAAAATCCCTGGGGATGAAAACTCATCATTCCTTCTTGAACAACACGCGAAGCCTAACTCCTCTGGGGGGTAGATTTGTGGGATGCAGTCTGCAATCTAGTTTTTTGTCTCTTTGTGTTTTATTTTGTTTTGTTTTCAGCAGTCAAAGAGCCTGTCCTTTCACAGTGACTACTTAAAGTATCAAAAAGAGATCGGGTCCAGTGGTCTTAGAAGCTGACTCTAGGCATCAAACAACCTGAGGATTTCTGTTTGTTCCCTTTATTTACTCACTCCTGCAACAAATATTTATTAACTATCTATAATATTAAGAGCCCTAGGCAAGCAGTAGGCAGAAGTATCTGTATTCCATAGATTCAAAGCCATGCATTTTTCAACATCTTATTGTCTCTGAATTTGGGCTGTTGCCATGGCAATGTTTTTTTCTCAGTGGCACCCAAAGCAATTCCATGTGCTATGACCAGTGGCCTCTTAGATTTCCTTTTCTTTTTTTTTTAATTTAAATTCAATTAGCCAATATACAGTACATTATTAGTTTCAGATAGAGTTTTCAATAATTCATCAGTTGTGGGACACCTAGGTGGCTCAGTGGATAAGCATTTGTCTTCGGCTCCTAGAGTCCCAGGATCGAGTCCCACATCTGGCTCCCTGCATGGAGCCTGCTTCTCCCTCTGCCTATGTCTCTGCCTCTGTCTCTCTGTGTCTCTCATGAATAAATAAATAAAATCTTTAAAAAAATAATTCATCAGTTGCATATAATACCCAGTGCTTACCACATCACACAGTTACCCCATCCCCCTACCCACCTCCCCTTCAGCAACCCTCAGTTTGTTTCCCAGAGTTAAGAGTCTCTTATGGTTTGTCTCCCTGTCTAATTTCTTCCCATTTGACTTTCCCTCCCTTTCCCTATGATCTTCTGCACTGTTATATTCCATGTGTAAGTGAAACCACATGGTAATTGTCTTTCTCCGATTGACTAACTTCACTCAACATAATACTCTACAGTTCCATCCACATTGATGTAAATGGTAGGTGTTCATCTTTTCTGATGACTGAGTAATATTCCATTATATATGTATATGTATATATATATATATATATATATATATATATCTCACATCTTCTTTATCCATTCATCTGTTGAAGGACATCACGGCTCCTTCCATAGTTTGGCTACTATGGACACTGCTGCTATGAACATTGGGGTGCAGGTGCCCCTTCGGATCACTACATCTGTGTCTTTGGGGTAAACACCAAGTAGTGCAATTGCTGGGTCATAGGGTAGCTCTGTTTTCAACTTCTTGAGGAACCTCCATACTGTTTAGGCCTCTTAAATTTGGTAGGATACTACTTGTCCATGTCTTCACTTTCAGGGAAAGGGGGATATTCAAAATAAGATAAAACTCCAAAATTGTGAGAGTTTCCACCTACCAACCGAAGAAGAAGAAGAAGAAGAAGAAGAAGAAGAAGCAGCAGGAGGAGGAGGAGAACAAAAAGTAGTAGTAGTAGTAGTCTTGGAGCTTGTGTGATTTGAAGATGATCTGTGTGTTTCATTTACTCACACTCTCCCTGGCCTTAGAAATAGATCATAACTGAGCGTGGATTATCTGTTGTTATCCTGTGGTTCTTAAATTCACAAATGACTTTTTTATTGCCATAGAGTGAGCATGCGTGACTCTGTGTAGTGCTCTCCACCTGGAGACTTATTTGGAACTTGACTTTTGATCCATTGTTGAAGCCATAATTTGAGGAGATTGTTTCTATAATATTTGGCAGAAATTAGTTAGAAGTATTATTTTTTTTTTAGTTAGAATTATTTTTAATGAAGCAAAAAAAAGATTTTTGTTACTTTTTTTTAAGGTTTTATTTATTTATTCATGAGAGACACTGAGAGAGAGGCAGAGACATAGGCAGAGGAGGAAGCAGGCTCCCTGCAGGAAGCCCGATGCAGAACTTGATCCCAGGACCCTGGGATCACACCCTGAGCCCAAGGCAGATGCTCAACTACTGAGCCACCCAGGCATCCCTTTTTCATTCAAGTATTTACCGAGTCTTTGGCATGGGCCTAACACCACAAAGCACTGTTAGGGGACAGAAACAAACGGGGTATCACTTTTGCCTTCCCAGGACTTAGTCTAAAGAAAAAGGCAAATTGGTAAACTATGAATGGTCACATAAGAAAGGATGAAATGAGTCCTGTAACCAAGCCCCAGGGATGCCTACATGAGACCAGTATCATTCCACAGCATTACATTGACATTTAAACATAACAAAACAGAGGTTGTTCCATTTCCTCTGAAATGTGGCTCCATCAGAAAAGAAGTCCCCAGGGGGAGCTCAGGACAATGTCCCAAGTCAACCCTTCCTCGGTTGATACAGAGACAGTTCCCTTCCATGGGAGAGGTGAGGTGGGGGGTGGTATGAGGTGGGGGGTGGAGAATGGCAAGGACTGCTTATTTTAGAAACTTCATAGTCAGCCAAATTTTCTGTGCCTCCTAGAACTGCTGTCACTGCTTTCTATCCCATGATAGGTCATCTCAGTGATTAGTTGATGTCCTTCCTCTCATCCCAAGAACCTTGTCCCCTTCCTTTCCAGCTCAGGCTCAGCTTCATCCCTTGTTGGGAGTCTCCCTCCCAACACTCTTGATTGCTTTCAGAATCATTCACCTTTGATCTCCTCATACAACACCATCTTCCCCTTCCTTGAACTACAAGCTCCTCCAGGCAGGAACCGAGATGGTGTGGCACAGAGCAGACCCTACAAATAAATGTGGCTGTATCCAGGTGGAAAGAAAGGAAGTGAAAGAAGGGTAGACAACCTCTCTTCTTGCATATGTGGGTTTAGTAACGTGAGGAAAGTTTGGGATGGCCACAAGCAGGAAATGGTACCTTGGACTGAGAAGAAAGTTCCCCTCTGGGCTTCCCCTCCTAAGAGTATCTGGAAGCAGTGCATCTCAACCTAATCATTTACCCCAGCACATGTGACAATTGATTTTCACACAAATGACAAATGGTTGGGGACCTGGTCAACTTACCTGGAATCCCCAGAGTGTTGACTTTGGAGTCACTTTTCTCTCTGTCCCAGTGTGCAAGTCATTAAAGGTGAAGTATGGAAAAGATAATATTGAATCCACTCTCACTGATGGAGGGAAAGGCCAGTCACTTGCGAATTTTGCTGTTTTTTTGTTAGTAACGAATTTCTTGAGACAACTGGTTTGTAGACTCCCAGCACCACTGGCAGCCCCCTACACAGCACACTTTCTACTGCTCTTACCTGCCGCTCCCTGCCCCCCACCCCAAGCCAGACACAGAAGTTAGAACCCAAAGCAGCAGGAGCATCCAAAATGGTATCCAGCTTTCTTCTTTTAACTCATAAAATACCGATAAACCTGTCAACAAAAGGTTCAGGTTTATTGATATTACCTGTTTAAAAAGGAGATCACCCATTCTGAATATGTTCATCTTATTGAAAAACAAGACACACAAAACCCTTTATTTCTAATATGCTCAGGTTTAGGCTGCCTGATTTGTACACCATCTGATCCTTTAATAATTCCGGGGAAAAGAACTGGCTCATAGCCCTTCACCAGTGATGTGGAGATGCTCACGTTACAGTCTCATTTTCCCACCCTTTCCAGCCACAGGCTCCCTTACCCACATACCACAGAGTGGTGGTCACTAGATACATCAGATTGCCAGAGTTAGCGAGTGAAAGTATACAAGACCTGGCTAACTTCAAGTTTCTTTTTTTTTTTTTTAATTTTTTTTAACTTCAAGTTTCAATTAAACAACAAATAACTTGTTAGGATGTGTATGCCTTATGCCCCAAATAACTTGTTAGGATGCGTATGCCCCCAAATTTGGGACTCACGCATACAAAAAATTATTTGTTTCTTATCTGAAATCTGAATTGACCTGAGCGTTTGTATTTTATCTGGCAATCTTATCACCAGACACCATTGCTTGGGATTCACCATGCACCTTTAGAGCCACCATTTCTTCTGAGCAAAGGGATTTGAAGTAGTTAAGTACCAGTAATGGTAGCACCTCAAGCATTGGGCAGTTTATCAAAGGAGAAAGATGTGGGGACTTCCTAGCATCTCAGAAATCCCATATGAGCACAGATCGAACTTGCCTGTGACAGAGAAGCCAGCCGTAGTGATAAAGGAGAAGAAAGGTGGTGGGCAAGGATCAAAGGAGGGGAAGAGCATCATTCGGTGAGCACAGCAGACACAATGAACCGGGATACCCTGGTATCATACCAGAAGACTCAACTCTTCCTTCCTGAGTCTCCAGGGAAGTAGAGAACATAACCCAGTTCAGTGCTTTGGAAACCATAATATTCAGACAGAAGAACCCAACTGATTTTCAGCTTTCTTCCTTTTGCATCTTGGCTCAGGACTTCAATAGAAGTTCTCATAAAGGCTTGGCACGTATCTATAGGTAGGAAATGGTTAGAGATACCTTGATAAGCTCAAAGAAACAGTTAAATCTGAGTGTGGATCATTTAATCATAGTATCTGGAATATATAAACATGGCACATATTATCTCCACCCCCCTCCCTTTTTGTGGCCTCAAAATTTGATCCAAGTCTGGGAGTTAAAAAGTCCCATTTTGTGTAATCAGGTTCTGGTTGAACATGATTGCTGAATTATTTTAAATTGAAGACACATGTCTGGAGGCTGAGCTGTATGTATTATTTCAGGATGGTGTCCATTAGGTCTTATCCACAGGGGCTATCTTCAACTTTTGCCACATTCAATGCATTCTTTATACATCAGTATTTGCAAAATGGTGAATCATATACAAGGGAAAATTGGAGGGAATATGGTACTCGTTAAAGGGTGATTTTTTTGAAATTATCTTGAATGCATTATTCAGACCTGTTTCCAGTCTCCCCCGCTAAGGGTCCCAGTGCTGGTTGGAAATTTTCTGCGGGAGGAAAAAAAAGAATATTTTAAAGACAATAACAACGCATAAATAAACAAAACCATGCAGTTGTGCAAGACCCTTTTGCAAGGCTACATCTCTGGAAACTTTACAACTGAATCAACATTTACTTTAACTCCTTGTCAGCCCCAAACACTTGAAGTATCTTAATTGCAGACCTAAATCGTTGCCGCTGCCATGGGCTTCTCCCTTTGAATATATGTGTCCCTGAACCGAAGGTTTTCAGACTTGACTTCATAAGGGCAGACAGTTGATTTTGTAAATTGTTGCATCATGTCAAGAGCTCCTGAAGGACTGGAGGGTCACCGGCTCACCACGAGTTGTTGAGGGGCCGAAGGAAACCCTAAGGCTGAACCAGTCCCGTGGCTGATTGCACCAAACATCATTCCCCCCCAGAGATGTCCTCCATGCCAGGAGCTGGGCCATCTGCTGGGTGGTGGTTGGTTTTAGCTGCTTTAGTGAGGTATTTCCGCAGCTGAGGACTCACTCATTCAAAGTGTACAGTCAATGATGAGTACATTTACAGAGTTGCGCAACAATCACCACAACCTAATTTTAGAACAATTCCATCATCCCAGAAGAAACCTTGTGTCCATTTGCAGTAGCTCCTCATTCCCACCGCCAGTCTTTAGCAATCAGTAAGCTCCTTTCTGTTTCTACAGATTTACCTTTTCTGGATATTTCGTAAAAAACGGAACCATCTAAATATGTGTGGGTTTTTGTTTTTTTTTTGCTCTGGCTTCTCTCACTTGGCATAACTTTTTGAGGCTCATCCATGTTGTAGTATGTATCAGTACTTCATTTTTTTGCCAAAAAATATTCCATCGTATAGATATACCAGATCTTTGTTCACCCAGTCATCAGTTGGCAGACATTTCTTTGGGTTGCTTCTACTTTCAGGTCACTATGAAAAATGCAACTGTGAATGTCTATGTAAAAAAGGGTATTTTAAAATGAATTTGAGGGATGCCTGGGTGGCTCAGCGGTTGAGCATCTGCCTTTGGCTCAGGTCATGATCCTGGTGTCCGGGATCGAGTCTCACATTGAGCTCCCTGCGGGGAGCCTGCTTCTCCCTCTGCCTAGGTCTCTGCCTATCTCTCTGTGTGTCTCTCATGAATAATACATAAAATCTTAAAAAAAAAACATAAAATGCATTTGAAACAAATAAAATAAAATGGATTTGAATGATTGTTAGTGTCATCCACAGTAAACTATAAATTGGATTTACTCTATGCTTTTGTTCAAGTGGCCTGTCAGAACATTCCAGAATCAAGTAGGCTCCTGAGTACTTTAAGACATTTTTTATCAGAGTGAAAACCTTAGTGATTTCAGGACATGAAGTGGTTAAGAAAAAGGGAGGATGTTTAGAAATTTTGGGACTAAAAGCCACCTTTAGGATGGCCTCAGCTCCTTCTGAGCCAGGCATGACCAGGCTTTTGAAGAGCTCAGATCCACAAATACCAGTCGCACAGCCCTTCCTTCTGGCAGCTTCAGCACATGCTGCCTGATTCTGAACGTCCTGCTGCCTTAAATAATGTGGAGGCTACTCAGGGAGAAGTGAAGTTGGAAGTGGCAGGGAGGTGAACAGGTCATAACACGGGAACAGAGTTGTCAGGCTTTGTTTATTTTCATGCCTTCTAAGACTTCAGCAACTGATAGGAGACGCTGGCAATCCTGTCATCGAGGAATGAGCATTGTACACAGTGGGGAAGCAGCTATATCGAAAAGTGCCCTTGCACGTTGCTCCCAAATCACCTATGTAGAGCCGTGAAAGACCCATGTCATGCGAAATCCCTTCCCAAGAGTCATCATGAGAGCAAGCATATAAAAAGCCAAATGGTTTCTAGAATGTGGTACTGATCAAAGTCAAGCCCAGCATTCTTGTCCTGGCAAGTCTCTAACCTTCTTTGTGGCCTTGGCCAGGTCACTAACCTCTCCTGGCCCTGGTTTTCTCATTGCAAAGTGAACAAGTTGACATCCTGATTCTTGCCCATGGTTTTTTTTTTTTTTTTTTTTTTTTTTCTATTCAATATACTGTTTCTCTGGCGACTTTGAAAATTTAGACTTTTGGAACCCACATTTAAAAAGCGAAACCAGTATTATCATCCTGTTAGCAATCAACTTACTGATGTCAAGAGACACGATCTGGAACACCAACTGGTGAATAATTAGCATTTGGAACACAATTTTTTTGAATGCCACACAGCGTCCCAGTGGCACTCCAATACTATTTGCAGATAGGAAAATTGTTGTTGATTTTTCAACATATTCTCTTGCAAGTCGTTTAGCTTCTTTTGTGTCAGAGTTGGGAATTAAACCAACATTTTAGGGCTTCCAGACCTTTATTGTATCAATTAATCCGGATTGCCTGGAAGCAAAGAAAATAATCATTCAAAGGCCTGTGTAAAATAATCCACCGTTAGAAAAAAAAAAACTCTGACTCACTGGCCCCCAAAAATTCACTTTTCCCTCTTGTTTTTGTTTTCTGGTTTAGGTTCTTATTGGGGTGGTGAGATCCTGCTGGTGAAAGGGGTTGGAGGGGGTTACATTTGACAATAGGTGGTAAGACTCTATTCTCCCAAGAAGAAAGAATGCTCCCCGCTGAGAAGAATGCCAGCCAATCATTTACTCCTTCTTCCTTGGTTGTCTATGTCCCTCTCTCACCCAGGAAGCAATGTGACATCTGCCCAGCCCCTCAGACACACAGCCAGCTGTAGAAGGTTGACACTGCTTTCATTAGGATTTTCAAGTACATCTCTTAATGGGAGGCAGCAGGCTCTGTCCACCCCTCCATGGCAAGGATCGGCAATGGGGCCTGGAGGGTCTCCCATCCTTTCAACTCCTCCATACACAGCATTCCAGAGCCCTGGCATTCTGATTATTCTTCAAAGCCAGTGACCAGCCCTGTAGTGAAAGAAATCTGGGGACAGATGGTATGAAATTGAAATCACATCATCACTAGCCTCTCCCAAATGCTGGCCTGTTACTTTGGCGAAGCTCCACAAAGCTCTGTGGCACTCATGCTGATCTGATGGAGGCCTGTGTCTTGAATGTGGATGCCTGAACATCAGGGCTGATAGAGAGGGGGCACATTAAAGAGGAAATTGCATTAATGTCATGTGGTCCCTCCATGGAAATCAGAACCACATGTGCATTTGAAGAAGTCCACATGCCACCAGACAAATGAAGAGGTCTCTTTCCACTTACAGACCCATCTGTTGTAGAAGAACAATCCTGTATCACTGAGAAAGCCATTCTGTGTTGGAAAGGGAGCCCAGTCCTTGAGATAAAGATGGCTATAAAGGTTTGTTTTGTTTTTGTTTCCTGACTTTCATCTTGGAATTTAGCTGAAAGGTAAACTCATAAGGCCATCTAAGGCGAGTGCACCGCTCCTTGAGGAGATCCCAACCTTCTTGTTTGATTGCTGTGGCTGGAATAGCAAATCATCAGGGGAGTGGAACAAAGTGAGAGGAAGAGGAAGGGCCTCTGGGGACGCTGGAGATTCACAGAGAAGCCTTTCTGGCACTGATCCCACTCCTTGCAATCGCCAAACTTTCATAAATGCCCCCAACAGTGTATGGAAGCTATCAGGATGCTTTTGTTGGTAGTGACTCCTAGCCCGATGGTATTAGTTTATTTTTATGGTGAAGAAATATACTTCCTCCTCTCTTAAATATTAGAAAAACAGTATGAATATTGTATAAGTCTATAAACGTAAAAGATTTTAAGTGGCATATTACATTTCTTTGAGTTCTTACTCAAAAAAGCAAACGTAATTATTAAAGAGATTAATATCTTTTTCTACCCTGTTGTCATCCCAAAAGGAGGGAGAAAAGCAGGGAATTTGAGGTTTGATGGTTTGTATTTAAAAATCCCTGCCTCTCCACCTATTTCTTAGATGATTAAAAAGAGTCTGAATTTTAGCATCCTTATTTATAAAAATCAGCATAGTGACAATAATAATAATTATTATTATGGCAACTTTAATGATTATTATGAAAATGAAATGCTTTCTAAATGGTAAAGTCCTAATTGAAAGTTACTTATTATTATCCCTAAAAGGATAAAAACTCAGTAAATTCACCGAAGCATCTGGAAAAGTTTTGTCTTTTGTACAGGCTTGTCATTAGTGTGAGATGCAGAGAAAAACTCTGAAAATACCAAGATGAGAAGTGAGCTAGTTTGAACAACTTCCTTGTCTGCAGCTCTCCTTCCGATCATGTCTCCAGGACTTCCTCGCTCCTTGAGCATACTTCTGTATGCTTCATAAACAGGACAATATTGCTGTCAAAGCACTCAAAGTCATGTCAGAGAAAATCCTCCCACCATCTCGCATCTCTTCCAACACCCTTTCCTTGGAGATCAGACGGATTTTCCTGGCAAGATGTTCATTATTCAGATGTTGCTTTGCAATTTCCTTCAACTTCTGTCTCCTGCAGGTTAGTTCGGGATACAGGGAAAACTTTGAAGAATGAGAAATCAGAGTCAATTGTGGACAAACTTCTGGAATAATACCTGCAAAAATAGGCTTTGACAATATCACCTTCGTCATGGTTGATTGTAAGTGATTCATCACTTTATCACTTTTGTTATTGTAAAAAAAAAATACTGGAGTCCTGAGTTTCTAAATTAATAAAACCCCTCATCGACGACACACTCTTCCTTTAATAACTTATTCCAGACACAGACCCATTGAATGGACATGTACTGATCATATGCTTAAACGGATCACAGTACAGCATGGAATTATCCATGCCTTTGTAAGTCGGGAGTACGTTGAGGTTTTCTTTGGTTAATTCATGGGGAGAAAGTAGGAAGGATGAGACAGGGGACAAGCAGTTATGATGCTCAACAGAAAAGGGATCTGAGTTTGGACAAAAGGAGCCTGAGATGGCATGTTATTTAAAGGACGCTAGCTTTCTAAGGTTACATGCTGCCAAAAATCCGTATGAAAATTACAGTCTTTGGATTGAATTGGGCAT